GTGTATCTTATGTTACAACGTTGGCAGATTGGAGGGGGGCCTTGATCAAAGATATATTCATGTGTCAATTTAGTATGTCCGATTCTAAGTCTGGCTATGATTACTTCTTTAAGCCGGGTATTTTGATAAGCAGTCGACCAGTGTCCGATAATTGGTTTGATTGGGTGAAAGTAGTAATGTGGATTTACGTCCCATTCAAACTGGACATACTTTTTGTAGGACGTGTAAATGACATTAAGATAATCTGATACCGGACATGGGAGGGAGTTATTGGGGGGATCACGGAGGCTGGCTTTGGCCGCTTTGTCCGCGCGCTCATTCCCCACAATATTCGCGTGACCGGGTATCCAGATTACCTTAACTTCTCTGTTTTGGTCGGTGATTTGATTAATTTGTCTTTTGATGTCTCGCGTGATTGGGTGCGAATCATTATGGGCCGCTGCGATTGATTGCACTGCTGCCTTGGAATCAGTACAAATCATTAGTTGTCTATCAGGTTTGTTGATTACGTGTCGAAACGCTGCACTGATCGCGTAGAGTTCGGCCGAAAAGATGGAGTGGTTATCGGAGAGGCGGGTGGATTGTGCGAATCCTTTTATATAGAAGGCGGCTCCGGTCTTGTTGTCCGCCCGAGAGCCGTCTGTGTATATAAAAGTATGGTCTTTATGGTCGTTTTGGAATTCGAGGAAAAGTTGTTTCATTTCATCAGTGTTCATGTCTTTTTTGTTGTCATCGAAGAGGATGAGGGTTTGGATGGGGTGCCTAGTCCAGTACGGGCTCAGTGGAGGGTTATCTAGAACCTTTGGAGTTTCTATTTTATAGTCCCTAAGTATGTTTTTAAGGTGTCTTCTTATTGTTTGGTACTTGTATTCTCTATGTGTTATTATGTTATTTTCTGGTAGGTTACTGAGTATAGCGTATGGTATTGTATCTTTTCTTGCCATTACTTTCGTGTAATACCTTATAAGCTGGTATTCTCTTCTTCTTTCCAAAGGAGGAATGTTTGAATCAACACGGAGATTCGATGAAGGCGAAGTGCGGAGTGCGCCAGAAATAATGCGAAGAGCGGAATTCTGGATACTCTCGACCTTGTTACTGAGAGTAGTGGATATATTTGTTAGTAAAAAGGCATTATAATCCAAGATGGATCGAATCAGAGATGTATATAGAAGTGTCAGTGTTTTTCTGTCGGCGCCCCAGTGTGTACCAGAGATACATTTCATGATGTTGAGGCGCCGGGTGCACCTTCCTGTGATGTCTGCTATGTGTTGTGTGAAAGTGAGTCCCCTGTCCAGTGTGATGCCTAGATATTTAAAGGTATTTGTTTGCGGAATCTCAACCCGGCCCAAACGGAGCGGGCGTGGCGGTGTGGGGTGTCTGCGTTGTTTGGAAAAGGTTAGTGAGGCTGACTTGTGGGGAGCAATTTGCATTCCCCACTTGTCACACCATTTGTTTACGTGGTTTAGTACCGTTTGAAGTTTTTGGTATGCCGCATTCACATTGTGGTGCGACGTCCAGACCGCCAAATCGTCCGCGTACATGGAATAGTGTACGTTATGTGTTACATTGTGTATATTGTCAAAGATGTCATTTATATATATAAGGAAGAGCGTCGGGGAGAGAGGACTTCCCTGAGGGACGCCGTGATCGAGGTTATGTAGGGTTGAGTAGGTGTTGCCTACTCTGACCTTGAAAGTGCGGTTATTAAGAAAATTACTTATGAAATTGGCCATTCGGCCGCGTATTCCCATGTTATGTGTTTTTATAAGTATAGCTTTGTGATGTACTTTGTCGAAGGCTGCTTTCAGATCGAGGAAGAGTGCGGCTGTAACTTTATTATGGAAAAACCCCTGTTGTATCGTGTCAATAATGTGTATCAAGTTGTCAGCTGTGGAGCGTGCTGGTCGAAATCCGTTTTGGTGTTGTGAGAGCTTGTGTTGTGATTCTAGGTACACTCTGATTCGATTGTTGACCATTCTCTCGACGATTTTAGAGGCACAGCTCGACAATGAAATTGGTCTGTAACTAGCTGGATCGGTGCTATGTTTGTCTTTTTTGAGAATGGGGATGATTATACTTTCTCTCCAGGAGTCCGGAAAGTGGCCTTCAACCCATAGCTGGTTGATGACCTTGAGAAAGTGTTCAAGGCCAAAGGGGGTTAGTTTTCTGAAGAACATGTAGGGCAGTTTGTCCGGGCCTACCGAAGTATTCCCACACTTTACGATTGCATGTTGTAGTTCATATAGGGTGAATAGGTGATTGTAATGTTCTGTGTTGTCGGATTGGAACGTGAGTGTTGATAGGGTGGTGCTGAGGTTGTTATGTAGAGTGCCTGAGTAGTTGTTGTTTGAGGATATGTTTGCATAATGGGCTGCAAATTGTGTGGCAACTGCTTGTGGGTCTGTTGTGAGTGTGTTTTGTATAATCAGTGACGGAATTTTATATATCTTTGGTTTATTGATGCGGAAACATCTAAGATGTTCCCAGACTTTAGTAATGGGTGTGAAACGGTTGAATTTGTTCGAAAAGCTTTCCCAAGACTCTTTTTTGGCTGCGTTGATGACTTCTTTTGCGTTCCTGATTTCGTTCCTGAGCTGAATTTCATGAGCAACACAGGGGCAGGCCCTACATTTCCGTAGGGCTCTGCGGCGCCTCGCGACTGCTTTTTGACAGTTTTCCGTCCACCACGGGGCGTGTTTGTAACCCTGTCTTTGCTTTGTCAATGGGACAGAACGTTCAGCTGCTTCGCCTATTATCTGAAGGAAACTTTCTATGTTTACTGTATCGTTGTCATTTACGTTATTGTTTGTATTGTCGTTGAAGCTAAGAATGTCAAGTTGTTCATCTATGTCGTCCTGGAATGTAGTCCAGTCCGCTTTGTTAAAGTTCCATTTCGGGAGGTATGTATTTATGGTTGACCTTGAAGAGGATTCAACTGTTATATGCATAGGATAATGATCACTAAAGTATTGGTCGATTTGCACTTTTGGGGTAAAAAGCAAGCTGATTTCTGGAGAAGTCAGCACAAGATCAATTACCGAGTATTGATTTGTTCCGTTCATGATTCTGTGGAATGTTGGTGATTTGTCATTAAGACAAATGAGATTATGTTTGTTAATGATGTTGTAAAGTGTGGTGCCGCGCTGTGTTATGTTGTTGCAGCCCCAGGCAGTGTGGTGAGCATTAAAATCACCTATTATCAATTTAGGGGAGGGGATTTGGCCAAAGAGTCGATCCAGTTGTTGGTACGTTACGTTAATACTAGGTGACAAGTAGAGAGAGATTACATTAACGTCTCGCTGTGCAATTTTGATTGTGGTTGCAACGTAATTTAGGTTAGAGTCAAAGTTAACTTGATGATGTAGAAGGTTGTTAGAGACATACAAAGCCGAACCGCCTCGGCGTGGGGAATCATTTACGTTATTGCAGTAAAGAGAATATCCAAAGAGGTTAAAGTTATATTTAGTCGAGTCAGTGTCGAGGAAGTGGGTCTCTTGGATGGCGGCTACTAATGGCTTTTTATTAACTATATATTCACGGAATTCCGCCCAGTGGGATACTACAGAGTTAGCATTCCACTGGAGCAGGAATTCCTCCGTGTGTTGTGGCATATTACTGTTTCTTTAGAGCGGACCGAGTGAGCGGGCCGGACCTGGCTGACTCCAGCACATCCAGGTCGGCCAGGCTCAAGGGAACGGTGTTGTTCCGGCGGAGCGGTGGGGTGTCGTGGGGCGGCGGTGAGGGGGTGGGGGCGCTGACTATGGTAGTGTCTAGCTCGTCGAGCTGTAGGGAGATAGTGTCGGCCTCTGACTGGCCGCTGCCGAGGCTCTCCGCGGAGCCGCTCGAGTGTTTGGAGAGGCGGGACGGCCTTGGAGCGGGGTCGTCAGTGTCGGTGTCGGTGTCGGTGACGGACCGGACGGAGGGCGAGGCCTGAGGGGCGGCCGGTGAGGACATGGCGCCGGCTTCTGGGTCCTCGGTAGTGCGCTTAGGAGCGGGTGGCACGGAGCGTGCCGGTGGTGAGGCCACCTTATGGGTCGCGCCTGGGGCCGGCAGGGGCGGCCAGTCGTCCCCGGCGAGAGGGGCGGTTGCGGTGTCGGTCGGGCGGGCGACGGCGGCGGCGGCGGTCGGTCGGGCGGCGGCGGCGGCGGCGGTCGGTCGGGCGGCGGCGGCGGCGGCGGCGGTCGGGCGGGCGGCGGCGGCGGCGGTCGCGGAACGAGTGGGAGGGGACCCGATGTCCGACGGCGGGTGAGGGGCGGGGAGCAGCCCGTCGGGCCGCTCCTCCCGGAACCACGTGGCTCCGTTGGGCCGACCGTGGCCTTGGGCCCGGTGCTCCGCGCGGCGGTTCTTGACTTCCGTGCGGTGCCACTGCCTGGCGTCCTCCGCGATAGGGCACCGGCGGTCCCACGCCGGGTGGGGACCGCCGCAGCCGGGGCACTGTTCAGGGCCGTCGCACTTTTCGGCGTCGTGCGGCCCGCCGCAGCGGCCACACATGGGCTGGCGTCGACGGCAGGCGCGCTTAGAGTGTCCATAGGCCCAGCACTTAGTGCAGGGGCGCGGGGTCGGGACCCAGGGGTCCACGGGCACGGCGAGGTACCCGCATCGGATGGCCTGCGGGAGGATGCGGGCCGCTGAACGTGAGCCGGACGGTGGGGTTCGGCCCAAGATTTTGGAGGTCGCGGGACCGGAGGCGCTGGACCCGTACGACGCCCTGTATGCCGTGATAAAAACTAGCCGCTATGATAAGCAGCATCGTCACCGTTTAGAACGCACCAAGGCTCTGATGAAACGGAACAGTTTGCCTCCATGGAATCCATCGTCATAAAGTAATTTCTTCACAGTTGGTCCGGCAGGCCATCCCTCATTGCCGTAGTTTTCTGAGCGTAGCGGCGGCTGTGAGAGGCCCTCGGCAATCCTGGCGCACGTTATCAAGCACGATCGTCTGCCGCACCGCCGCACCGCCGCCGCCGCCGCACCGCCGCCGCCGCCGCACCGCCGCCGCCGCCGCCGCCGCCGCCACCGCCGCCGCCGCCGCCGCCGCCGCCACCGCCGCCGCCGCCGCCGCTGACGCCGCCAGTCTGTTGTCGCCCGTAGACCGGTGCACAACAGCGAGCGTCTCCGTCATCGGCCCACCTCTATCCGCCCCTACCGCCGTCATCACAGAGCGAGAGTCCCTCGGACAGTGTGCCTGGCAGCAGCGGAAAGCTCGGTGGTCGCCCCACAACATCTTGTGCAGAAGAAGCCATGGATTCGGAGAAAGGAGCTCTGTTGGGATCATCCAAGCGCAAGGACTATGGGTCAGGAGCGTTCGGCAACGGGTCCCTAGGGGATCGTGAGATCTTTGTGCCACCAAGTAAGTGCCATAGATTAGATATGGTGAGAAAATCGGTGAGGGAAAGGTAGAAGAGAGAGAGAGAGAGAGAGAGAGAGAGAGAGAGAGAGAGAGAGAGAGAGAGAGAGAGAGAGAGAGAGAGAGAAGAGAGAGAGAAAGAGAGAGAGAGAGAGAAAGAGAGAGAGAGAGAGAGAGAGAAAGAAAGAGAGAGAGAGAGAGAGAGAGAGAGAGAGAGAGAGAGAGAGAGAGAGAGAGAGAGAGAGAGAGAGAGAGAGAGAGAGAGAGAGAGAGAGAGAGAGAGAGAGAGAGAGAGAGAGAGAGATGCAAAGATAAAGTATCGAGGGTTTACAGCCAAAAATCAAGCGTTCAAGTGCCGATGCGTCAAAAGCCGTACTATTCTATGATGGTTGTGGTGATAAAACTTAGGACTTAAATACAAACTATTCTAAATATTTTTTTCCATGAAAAAAATAGGTTTATTTGAACATACTATTTCAAATAACTGTAATAAGCCTCTACATCAAAAGACATTGGATTCTTTATGGCTCACTAGTGGATCGGATATCTTTTCCTCTCGTTTTCCAGAAAAAAAACTCGCCCCTTCGTCGCTCGGATTCTCAGCCACTCGCTTGAAACATATATCCTTATCTTTCTATGTAGTCGAGTTTTACTTGCCAGTGGGCCCAGTTGGCTTCAAATCATAATTGAGCAACCAGCGTGTACGTATTTTGAAGAAGTTGACGGTGATGTGTATTTTGTTGCACTGAATACCGTTAATTTATCAATGTCGCCAGTCTAAATGATCTTGTCCAAATCGGTTCAACTCTTTTCAAAATTGTCTTTTCTTCTTCGTTATGTCGTACCAGGTGAAGGACATGCCAAGTCCGGAGAACAAGCTTTCATAAGTCCCAAGCCGTTGATTGATGATATTCAGACAGGATTCGGATCGTGGTTAGGTCATTGAAACAAAATCATAATTTAACAGCATTTTTCACGTGGACATGCTCCCATTCTTTTTTATTATTTTTGTCTGAACGGAGCGTTGATGATTGAGGAAACACAGCTCCGCTGTGATTGAAAAAGAATGCCCATTGCATTGAAGTTCAAATGACTGATTGCGGCTTTCGGATTATCCATGTCTTTCCCATTGCCTCTCGATAATAAAGTATCGAAATAAAATGATTAGTGAATGGTAATACGAAACTCCCTTTATTACACTGAACGAGCAATAAAACTACAAAGTCGGTCCAATAAAATCAGGCACACTACCATGCAGGGCTACAGCTGTATCAAGTAGAAGTTGGTTGCGGTTTAATGCGCTTCTACATCCTATCACATTTTTTCAGGCCTCCCAGAGTCGATGGAAGGCGCCGATGTGTGGAGTGACATATGAGAGGAGTTAATGTTCCTCTTCTGACTTGGCCACAGAAAACATGACGTCAAAAGGCCGATGTCAATAATTTGTATTATTTCAGATCTAGGCCAAAGGCGCCTAAGTCATGTTGGGGATTGATTTGTCATAAAAATGATGCTTCATGCGTTCAGCCGTTTTCCAATGAACGCTCGTTGAGATCGTTCACATACTTATGACTTTCCTTGTTGTCGCCATTTTCTTCCTTCGCGTGCCGACTACATTTAGCAGACAATACTGTATGTATGTTGTGAGGCCCGTTTCCTGAAGTATACCCAACATCAGACGCCAAACTATATCAAACTGCTGGAACAGTGACCAAAACATTCTGTTAGAGGCTGATAAGGCCATGTTTGTTGCTGACTTTCTACTATTAGAAGCCTTTCTTCATTTTCTCTGAATGGGTCAGCCCAGGTAGTTTTCTCAGTTCCTATTGTTTTTAGAAGAAAAATGGCAGAGATTTCGCACCATTTTCGGCTCTTTCCTTCAGGTTTGCCTGTAGCGGATCATCCTACCTTAGTCCTTAACCCTATTAGTGGCAGGGGGGGTTGTTTTTATCCACCCCTCAGGTTTTTCGGGAATATCTCCGAAACCGCTGAAGCTACGATGCTGAAATTTTCTGACTTTTCCTAAAACTAAATTGGGCACATTCTCTGAAAATTTCAAGTTCATAACTTTACCAGGGGCGGCTCCAGAGCACTGGGAATTGGGGGGTCCTATTCGTGAAGCGAGTCATTTGGGCGAAGATCACGATTCTGCACCAGTTTTACGAACAGTGAATGAAAGGTATCATGTGATAACATATACAAAGTTATTGTGCATCCTCTTTTGACACGTTTTTGCTATAATAGGCGGATCCAGGCGTCCAAAAAGGGGGTCATGTTTTACCTCCCAACATAGGTGCCCTGACACCGCCTATGCATGACCAATACAATTTTAGTCGTTCTTTCATAAGAAAATTGTAACATAACAAGACCATTACCACCCTTTTTAGAAACAGTACCAACAAAAACCTTATTTACTCTACTTTTTGTGTACCCCCAATCTCAATGATCTGTATCCGCCTATGATTTTTGAAAATGCATATTTTTAGGATCCATGTGAATTCCTGGTTCATTCTCTATCGATCGGCAAAAGTTGCGTTAAGATTGGTTCAGAAACCTGGCCGTGAAACAGTCTAAAATGTGTCTGCAATTTGCCCGTTTTTACCCCCCTCTACCCCCCTATTGACATTTTTTTTTAGAAATGTAGATCTCGTTGAGCCAAATCGAATGCCGTTTGAATTTTGAAAATCGGCCCGTTAGATCTCGAGATATCAAGGGGGGGTCGTAAACAGCCCCCCCCCCCTGCCACTAATATGGGGTAGCCAGGAGCCTGCCACTAATAGGGTTAAAACGTTTGCAGATATCTGGGACATTATTTTGCCAGAATAGTGTCATTATGGAAGGTGATGAATAACTATTCACAAAGAATTCATCACAATGCCATTTACAAAGGAACACAATAGACTTCGATAAATTGCAATATTGTATCTATTGCATTGCATCGCATGCTGTGTAACTAGGACCTTTATGTAATCGTTGTTCATGGTCTGACACCTAACTATACCATCCATCTCCGTCTTTTATTAGTGCCGTTCATAATTCTTAAAGCTGACGTTATGTCTGTCCCAATTTAGGTGACTTCAGGACCTTTTTGTCGTAAACACTACCCGGGTAATATTGTATTTTCTTCATGCAACCTCATGCTTTTATCTTTCTAGTTGAGGTTTATTTGCCATTGTGTCTACAGTGCAGGGATATTTCTATCTTGCACTCCTCTGAGATGCATAGATAAGAACTAGGGTTACCCGCGTGCTCCGCAACGCGAAGGGGGGGGGGGGATTTTTTGACCCGTGGGTTGGTCTGTGTCGATTTGGTTGGTAGATATCCATTTCGTTCGATTGCTTTTTGACGGCCAAGCATTTTGTAAGAAAACAAAAAGATACATCGCATCGAGGTGCCCGTGTCGTATTATCATGCGTTCTACTTTAGAATGATTCGAAAACTGGCGTGAAGTCTTTTGAGGGCCATCGATGAATTTCGCTAAAAATGACAATGTAATGGTTTGGAACATTTACATTTTAAGGATACTGTTGCTAAGTATGCAAAAATGAAGAGTGAATATTGGACAGAATTGAATGCTCTATTTAATGGTACCATATTCAATTGCCAAAGGTATCAGGTTATGCAGCAAACCCCGTGTGATTAATAAAGTGGCACAAAATTGACAAACACCATTTTCTCCTGTGATTTGCACCACCTTGATTTGGATCAATCAGCTTTTCACAATTTTTATATGAGAGGCGGTACCTTTCTCTTGCAAATAGGCGTTGATTCAACTCGCTCCATTAAACGGTCACCTAAAAATAAAATTAATTCCAAAATCCCTCAAGAACCGCAATTTTTCAAATAAAAGTGCCCTCTCCGGTGCACGTGGCGCGTGCTATCCTCTGCATTGCACACCATTCAATAGCCCGTTCAATTCTGTACACGATGCTGTTTTCCCCGTGCCGGTCGGAACCCTGGTCACCAATATATTGCACGGGAACTGGACTCGTGTCGGCCAAAATTAGCCGTTTTCGTCCGATTTCGCACGCCGATTTATACATGTAAAGTCTATGACGCGAATTTGCACTTTTTGAGCACGCGCCACGCGCTCCCTATCAATCCGATCGAGCTAAGACCCCTCAAAGGCACGTCGCGCATCCTTGATCTATGAGTTGTGCAAATTTCACCGGGCTAGGTGCAACGGTCTGGCCTGCAGTTCACGCAAAGCACCACCAAGTCGGGACCTCGGTAACGGACAGACGCACCCTCCTCAAATAGTAGTATAGATTTGTTATCACTGCATCCCTCTGAGATGCAAAGATAAGGTCTCGAGGGTTCATAGCCAAAAATCAAGAGTTCAAGTGATGGTGGGTCAATAACCGAACAACATTTTAATGGCTGTTTATGTATGAAACTTATGAAATAAAAATAAACTGCTCTAAATCTATTTTTACAAAGATGAATAGGTACATTTAAACATAATATTTAATTAATTAAGAATAAACCTCAACATAGAAAGATATAGGATTCCTCATGGCTCACTCGTGGAAGATCGGATATCTTTTCCTCGCGTGTTACAGAAAAACCTCGCTCCTTCGTCGCTCGGTTTTTCAGTAACCCGCTTGGAAAAGATATCCTTATCTTCCACTCGGAGCCATGAAGAATCCTCTATATCTTTTACCCATTTTCAGAATATGGTATGTTCGTCAGGGATTTCCACTTGTTTAGAAACTTACTCCTTATTAGGTTATTTGGACAAGCAGGGTCTGACATTAACCCTATTAGTGGCAGGGAGGGGGGGTTGTTGTCATCCACCCCTCAGGTTTTTCGGGAATATCTCCAAAACCGCTGAAGCTACGATGCTGAAATTTGCTGACTTTTCCTAAACCTAAATTGGGCACATTCCCTGAAAATTTCAAGTTCATAACTTTACCAGGGGCGGCTCCAGAGCACTGGGAATTGGGGGTCCTATTCGTGAAGCGAGTCATTTGGGCGAAGATCACGATGCTGATGTATTATAACTGTATGCACCAGTTTTACGAACAGTGAATGAAAGGTATCATGTGATAACATCTACAAAGTTATTGCGCATCCTCTTTTGACACGTTTTTGCTATAATAGGCGGATCCAGGCGTCCAAAAAGGGGGGTTATGTTTTACCTCCCAACATAGGTGCCCTGACACCGCCTATGCATGACCAATACAATTGTAGTCCAATTCTATCATAAGAAAATTGTAACATAACAAGACCATTACCACCCTTTTTAGAAACAGTACCAACAAAAACCTTATTTACTATATTTTTTGTGTACCCCCAATCTCAATGATCTGTATCCGCCTATGATTTTTGAAAATGCATATTTTTAGGATCCATGTGAATTCCTGGTTCATTCTCTATCGATCGGCAAAAGTTGCGTTAAGATTGGTTCAGAAACCTGGCCGTGATAAACAGTCTAAAATGTATCTGCAATTTGCCCGTTTTTACCCCCCTCTACCCCCCTATTGACATTTTTTAATTTTTATTTTTTAGAAATGTAGATCACGTTAAGCGAAATCGAATGCCGTTTGAATTTTGAAAATCGGCCCGTTAGATCTCGAGATATCAAGGGGGGGGGGGGTCGTAAACAGCCCCCCCCCCCTGCCACTAATAGGGGTAGCCAGGAGCCTGCCACTAATAGGGTTAATTAAAGCTATCGCCATGTGGAATATTTCGTCTTTTAGCTGGAAAACCAATCTACTAAGATAATTTTAGCCTCTTTTTAGCTATTTCCCGGCACGTTTCTTTTGTCGTATAAGCATGATAGGATCGTTGAGGAAGGACGTCTTTAGTCGTCGCCCCCCCCCCCCCCAAATTATCCGTCATCTATTTGATGGTTTACGAACCTGCACTGCACTAGAAGTGCAACACAAACCAAAGGAGATTCAACGGTGTAGTGGTCGGCGCTTCAGGCTCCTCGCCTGTCGAACAGCCCCTGCGACCTGTATCGGTTTAGCTCGGAAGGAACACCGCATACACGCACGCCATCGTCCAGTATAGCAACGCTGGCTATCAGGAATCTGAGCAGCTCGCGCCGAGGAACAGAGGTGAATCCTAATCAGGGACTAGGTTCACTAAAAACTGAGACGGGAATGGATTGTAAACGGCAGCCATTTCGTGTAAAATTATGCCTTGTCGTCAAGACGCGGTATCGTCAATCATGGCTGACTTATGCTAATTGGTATCATATTAAGCCAAAAAAACATGGATTAGGTAAATACCTACACCATTATATTTTTTGCTGCACTTCTTGGAAGAAACACCACCAATATACATCGGAGCTATGTTACAGCATACATGCTGCGCTTAATGCACGTCTGTTTGACGCTTGGTTTGACGAGGCGGAGCGTCAGAGACTGTGAAACACCTTATAGAAACTGACATCGATGTTTTCATTTCCAGTTGAGCCCGACTCGGGCTCCGGGTGCTGGCCATGCTGCTGGAAACCAACCTCCTACAGACAGATTCTGGACCATGTACCCGAAGGTAAGCTCCTATATGTATAGTTTCTGGACCACGCACCCAACTACAGGCTTCTACATCATACAATCTGGACTGTATACCGCGAGGTACGCTGCTACAATAACTACATAGATGAGATAGGTAGCTATACACTATACAGGTCCATCCATGCACGTTAAATGTGAAATAACTAAGCTCACTGGCTAAAACGATATCCTTCTTGCAACGCGTCGGGGTTATTTGTCTCTGTTCATGTGCACTTTGGTCCAGATATAGCATCCCAAAAATTCCCTCGAGGGAAGACCATTACTATCTCGACGACTGTTATACGTACGCCATAACTGGTTCCATTGACGCATTCGTTTGGAAAGTGACTTTTCTGTCTTTTTTTCATTTTCTGTCATGTGCATTCCAATGATACGCCGCGGGTATTTCGCAATGATGACGTCATATTTTACGTGACGCGCATTATGAGCACATCCTCGATTACTTACAAGAAATCATTCACATTTGTCAAGTCATGCATCCGACAGCCTTGCATCTGACGTTCCATGTCGCAGCGAGCAAAGCTGAAACCAGGTAACTGCGCTTCAGTGTGCTTTGAGTGACATCTGTTTATCGACGTCATCAGAAATCACATTCGCTTGCACATGCGTGCTGGCGCTTATTTAGCAATGCGTATTGGCTCATTCAAACGTCTGAATGACGTCATTTTGAGCACTTCATATGAAACAAGCTTCCAATTATACCTGCGCATCAGAGCAGTCTCTTGTCAAATCGATGAACTAAGAATCGAAGCTGTAGTAAATGTTTTTAGGTTTTCATCAGCTTGGACCATGATGCAATGCATTATTTTACGTGCAATTTTTGTTATATTGAATGGATATCGATTTTTCGAATATATCTGAAATGCATTCAATGTGGTTATTTCGATGAAGCGTACATGCTAGAAAGAAACGCAGATAAAAATAAGCAGAAGCATGGCTAATCAACGCATAATGCCTATCCAACTGGCTTGTATTACAACAGAAGGAGATAATTGCCAAAATCAGAATATCCAAATTCCATCGCATGCACCATCACCGCACCATACGCTAGCTATTTACCTAGCTATTCGAAATGGGAACAACTGAGATGCCGAATGGTCTATGACCACGTTTGATCTAAAAGAGGTAGAATCAAGAGTGAGGTTAAAATAACCGTAGTTATTGGAATGTATTATGCTTGATCTTCGGAAAAAAATCGGGGTTTTAGACATTCGTCCGCCGCCACACCACCATCTACAGTCTACACGTATTCTCTGAGCACGACGCTGGCCCGGATTCCAGGGTCTGATTTCCAAGAAGCTCCGAGGAGGGCGTTTTTGTCGATTCTGGCCCTCTCATCGATTACGGGATGCCTGGGAGCAGTCTCTCTATAGTTAGCGAGGTCGTGACACAATGTTACTATTTCTGGCGCTGGGCTCATTTAGTCCCCGGCGGGGAAGTGGCGGTCCGAATGACTTTAGCAGAAGTGGACAAGTCGGCGCGCAAACATCCAACCCCGAATAGTTAGGACCTGTGAGTTTACCGGGAAGAGAGTTAAGAAGAAAAGCTGGCTGATTTTTTCTTTGACTTTGTTATGCGATGCATTAGTATGCTTTTTCTTCTAATAAGCTTATTTTAAACCACAAAGGATTATACCAATTGCCAAGGCGCGGACGGCGGCTTTACCAAACAAACTCTAACAAATATTAGACCATGCATTTGCTTAATACTTATTAACTACAACTATAATACGTAATGGTCATGGTACCCACGGTTTATAATTTTATCTGATGTTCCACCTAATGCTGAGGAGAGTGACAATTACCATCTCATCCGACTTAATAAGATAAAATATACAAGGAGCATGCTCATTGCTCAGTGCTCACACAATACACTAGGTGAGGCTTGAGCTCGAATCTGTCATCGATGGGAAATAAATAGAAATTATACCATTAACCAAATATTTCAAAGAACTTGGAGCTTTGGGGCTTGGAGAGGATCATATGACAAGTGAACTCATTTTAGGCCACATCTATCGTGACGCCCTCAGCGTGACGCCACACAACCGGTCTCTGGCCTGATGAACGAAGGGAGCTCACACGACTAGATGGAGCCCGTGCACGGGACCGTTTAATGCATGCAAAATGTCCGCTCTGGGCGGCGCAGCCACCCGGGAATGTTAGAATGGCTTTGAGGTAGCCCCGCATCCGCTAGTTTAATGAAGGCGTACATGGAACGACTCCGACAAATTAGGCACCTTCAACATAGTGGAGATTCGGTAAGGCTGGTCGGACATGCATCTCTGACAAATTGTGGGAAGCCGTAGCAGACTGTGGTGACAGCTTCGATGGACTTTGAGACTAGAGACAGCTTGGCACAATGTAAGGATTAAAAGTCTTCCTCAGCTTTGGACTGTTAGGTAGGACAGACTAAGCTGGGACATTGTTCCCACCCCAGTCCGCTGCAAAGTTTCAGTCAGCCCGATGCATTGCTCTGGAGATTGTTTTCAGTTAGCCCGGCAGCGATACCCACCTTTGTAACACGTTTGCCCTCCTGCGTGCCCCCGCCCCCGTTCATGTGACTCGTGCCCTCCTCCCAGTGTCCTCCCTCTCCCAAATAACACTCTTTTTCTCTCCGGTTTGCCTCCAGACCATTGTCACCGCCAGCGAGAGTCCGGCGTCAACCGGAAGGCCACCAAGCAGCTGCTGATCGCCACGTCACTCTGCTTCTGCTTCATGCTCATTGAGGCTATCGGTAAGGTCACGGGCGAGTCACGGGAAGGTCACGGGGAGTCACGAAGTAGTCACGGACCTGTCACGGGCCTGTCACGGGCTGATCACGGGCTAGGCATGAGCTGAGTACGGACTACGAGCTACAAACTTAAAAAAAATCACTTTCTTTGGCTATCAAGTTTTAATTCGCGCTTGATTTTAAATCACTCTAAAAGGGCAAGGAAATCCAGTTTTGTTATTACGCATTCATGTCATGTTAGATGAATCTCAGTTTAGCATGTTGTCAAAATGTCAACTGTATGACTCCATATGAAGAACCAGTACATTAATTGACAAGCTGATCTGCATGTTTGTTTAATTAAAATGTGCCTCCTTGTTGAATACGTGTATGTAATTCCCGGCTGAAATCACCACCAGGGACTGATCAATGTGTTCCGGAATCTGACACGAAATGCGATTGGTTGTGTAATCGCTACCAATAAACTGTTACGTAATATGCCTCATAGGTGAAGTTTTCCCGGCGAATGCGGGCTGTAAAGTGACATCTGATCACCTTACGTAATATAATCATTAATTATGCCTAGCTGTAATGATAAGCCCACGTGAAGGCCAACATTCCTCGTTGTTATGCACGCGATGACAGACTTCACCGTATCGTAAAAATGTTTTCTATTGCTCATGACCACTGTCAACTGGCAAGTGATGGCTCAAGGACCAACCACGTGAAGTCCACACTGCAGTGCACAAAATGGCTGATGACACGGCTTTTCCTCCTACGTAACGAGCTTCACGAGCTCTGCTAGCCGCTGACCTGCCGGCTACCGACCTCTCCGCTGTCACGACCTCTCTCCCTCCCTCCCCCAGGCGGCTACATCTCCAACAGTATCGCAGTGCTGACGGACGCCGCCCATCTCTGCACCGACCTGTTCGCCTTCATCGTCTCTCTTAGCGCTCTGTTCGTGGCCGCCAGACCGCCGAGCAGTCGGATGAGCTTCGGATGGCGGCGCGCAGGTGAGCGTCGGGCCGGGGTCGACCCTCGGGCGGGAGTTCTTACATACATGAGGAGGCCGGCGCGATGGATTGTCGGCGAGATACGGGTCGGGACGGGCCGGGATGGACGGCCGACCCGGCCGGCGAGGCAGACATGGCAGAGGCGCAGGGGCGGCGCCAGAGGAGAAAGTTGGGGAGGCGGCGGCAGCGTGCACTGAACTCTGAAGGCAGGCTGCAGTGTGAAGATGCCCAACGATTACGGTAGCTACCGTGTGGGTTGGGGTGGAATGTCCACCTACCAACAGCGGCGACAGGTGCTGTCGTGTGGACTGGGATGGTCGAATGTGGACCGGTCAGAGCTGCCGTATGGACTCGGGTGGAACATGGGCCGATTAGAGCTGCCGTGTGGACTAGGGTGGTAGCATGTGGACCGGCCGAGCTGCCTTGTAGACTGTGATGGGGTGTGGTCTGGCTGGGCTACCGTGTGGACTGGGGCGGTACTGAATCTGAGCCGTCAAGCTGCCGTGTGGACTCGGGGTGAAATGTTGAACGACATGCTGTCGTGTGGACTCAGGTGGAATGTGGACAGGCTAGGCTGCCTTGTGGGCTGTGGTGGGATGTGGACCGTCATACTATCGAGTGGATTCGGGGTGAAATGTTGACCGACATGCTGTCGCGTGGACTCAAGTGGAACGTTGACCGTCATGCTGCCGTGTGGACTAGGTTGGTGGAATGTGGACCGGCCGAGCTGCCGTGTGGATTGGGGTGGAACGTTGACCGTCATGCTGCCGTGTGGACTAGGCTGGTGAAATGCGTACCAGCCGGGGTGCCGTGTGGACTCAGGTGGAATGTTGACCGCCGGCTGGAGAGGAGGGGCGGGACCAGGACCGGTCAGCCGGTGGGGGCGGGCGGTTTGCGCATTCCAAGGACACCGGGACCCTCGGGGTATCCCGTCCGCACCGAGCGTATAGCCTGTCGATGGCAACGGGAAAACAATGGCATCGTGCTGTGATTTGGGTGCTGTCCAGTACGAATAGGCATGGGACGTGCTGCACAGTGCACCCTCGTTCACGTAACGCTAGATGCCTCCGCTTCATTAATATGGATGGCCGTCCTTTCATGTCTTCAGATGTGCATGCTTTGTGTTAATGTGCCTCATAAAGCAATTTCAGGTTGAAACAAATATCTAACGAATGCGCTTTGTAATCGAGCTGTTATGCTGCTGCTACCACTCAAAATGTACATTTAAACTAGCTATTTCCTGACAATAATGATCAGAGACCAGAGCATGCATGTCCAAAATCCTGAGTTATCAACCATTAACATATTTTTGGCCAAATTTAGTTCTGAATTCGAATACAGCGGGCCATCTCTATAAAGAAATAAAGGTGTCCACTGGCTGCACACATACAGATCACGTGGCCTTGGACGTCTGCGGACGTTAAGGGACGGTTGGGTCTCCACGTGAGATGGCCGATAGGACCATAATGAGGGCGTGACACAACTCACTAACGAACATAGGCAAGAAGAAAGGTGACATCGTTTAGCCCCTTCTGAAGCTGACTGTCAATTCCATTCAGGATTAAAAACATGCCTACTTAAAATTCAATTTTCTGCTCCTTCCGATGCTTTGAATTCAGCACAACTGGTATGAATTACAATACATGCTACGGTTTGAAATTGGGACCGCCATCCAAGTCACAAAATGAAAAAAAATGGTGACGTCTTGTTCAACAGCCACGGAGAACAGGGTCGCGGTCCCCAGAATCTCCCCGATGTGGATAGCCCTCCGTACTGGACAGCTTCCCCCACTCCCAAGACCTTCCCAGTCTGCGACTGTGCGACTTTTTCAGCAGTCTCACACCCTTGCGAGTGTGGTTACAAGTTACGTTTAATCTCTTCGTCCTCATAACCAGGGCTGCGGAGTCGGGGTCGGAGTCGGAGTCGGAGTCGGTCGGATTCGACAGTTGTGACCGGAGTCGGAGTCGGAGTCGGAGTCGATTTTAGAAACCCGAGCCGGAGTCGGAGTCGGAGTCACCGAAAATCTGTCGACTCCGCAGCCCTGCTAGGTGTGCGGAGTCGGAGTCGGGAGTTGGAGTCGGTCGGAGTCGACAATTCTGCCCGGAGTCGGAGTCGGAGTCGGAGCTGGTTTTTTGAAAGCCGGAGTCGGAGTCGGAGTCGGAGTCGCCGAAAATCCATCGACTCCGCAGCCCTGCTCATAACCTACTCAGTTTGAGTTCGTCCGTCCGGCGGTATCAGACCCCTTCCCAGTCTGTGTAACCCGCGGTATCCGACTCTTTGTGTGACTATCTGTCAGCTTCAGACCATCCCATGGTATACATGTGTGTCTGTCTCAGAGACCTCATATTCTTCCTAGTCCCATCCCAGTCTAGGTGTTGCAGTCTCAGACCAGTCCCACTTAATGCTATCCACTTCCTCAGATCAAATCCAATCTGCGCCACCTGCACTGCTCTCAGACTGCATGTGACCCGCTACCCCTTGACTACCAGACTGTATGACCCGCTACCCTCAGACAACCAGACTGCGTTGCCCGCCGCCTTCACTCCCAAACTGTGTGTCACTGTAGCGCCCCCGGTCGAGGCCCGCGCTCCACCGGTGCTGCCGGCTCGACCATCGCCACTGACCAGCTACCTGGCCCGCCGACCTTCCGTGGTTATATAACTAAGAGGGAGCGACCAGTCGGCTGCAGCACGAACAACAGCGGACGCTACAGAGGACATTTTACGGCAGCATCGATGCTTATATGGAAGTGCATCTACACGAAAACAAACCAGTGGAACACTATTAATAAGTACGGCAGTGGATGCCAACGAAAGCTGCCTCAATAGAAAGGATAGAAAGGCCATTTTAGGTGTTTTACGGACTGCAACCTTGGCAGCGTGCCACAGTATCCGCATTACGTTACGCAACCTGACAAGTTTTCCTGTCTGTCAGACCACTTCTGTTTAAGAAATCTCCCTCGCGGTTTCAAGGATACCTACTATTATTAGACCTGTTATATGTGTTTTCGTCCATTTTGGTTTGGTAACATGTTTACTATAACTGCATAAGTATAATAGATATGATATAGGTACCGGCATTACACCGTGCAGAAGCACTGTAAATATAAATATTGACCAGAGTGAATGACAGAATGAATGTCAGGTGTGACGTCACGAATTCGATTCGATCACGTGTGATCGGCGTGTACTGGCGCCATTGCGCAATGCTGATAAAAACCTGCTCCGTCAGAGAGCAGTGATAGCACAGGTAGGGGCTGCGCTGACATCATATCTCTCAGGATCAGTTATCGGCGTGGTCAGCAATGCAAACAAAAAGAGAAAATGTTTCACCAGTTGCAACTCTTTCAGTTATGCGCTGGACCCCCTCCCCATAACAAAATAAACAAGAAGCAAAAATACACAATGGAGCAAAATAAGCAAACTGATACATATTCATTTTCATCGGGTAGTTTATGCAAAAGGTTTCTTTTGAACGTTGCTCTTTTGCTAAGCACATAATCCGATCTTGGTATGTTAGATATTTTGACAGTTCAATGATGAATCCCTGGATGAATCCTTGGAGAGATGCATGCGGAGTACAGACGCATGCTTGTTTGCGATTGGTATCTCATTTAACATTTATTTCTAAGTATGTACTTCAGGCCTGTAAAAAATATGTTGCTTTTAAAATCCTGTTGCATAGCCCGTATTGTTTGTAAACGGTTATTATTGAACCGTGTCACATCCATAAGACCATAACCTTCACTAATTTCTATGTTCCTTCAAAAAGTCAATGTTCGGTCAAGCTACACCATAAACAAAAATACTATCGGTACACTGACGGTGCACAACTTCGTCTCACTCGGCTTTTTCCTCAATCTCTGCGATAGGCCGATCGACAGGCTATCGAGGCAGATCGCTCTGCCGACGTTCGACCTCGAGGCGCCCCCTGATAAGGCCTCTTCACCGCACCTCACTCAACTGCCCCGTACTTACAGTTTATTCTGAGCTCACTGCCCAACATCAGGTGGCGTTACGGGGACGGGGCAGGAGATGACGTCATGCTGGGCAATCGGCACCTGTGATCTTAATCCTTGGTGTAACTGGGAATGGATCTCATTAAACCCTAGCCCTACTTTGCCGACTGACATTTTCAATTGCCTCTTTTCGTGCTGGGAGCAGGTATCATACAACCGCAGTCTTCTCACTGCTCAGATATGAAAAGGTGTCTGCACTCCGCACCACCTCTACGTCTGGCCCAAAGCCTGCTGAAGTGACTCATTTATGACAATCCTACGACCTCCGACTGAGGTAATTTGGCCAGATGTGACATGATACACTGTCTTGTCACCTGGTCGGGTTGGATCTGGTCTTATCACCTGGTCGCGTTGCAGATCATAAGCTCTGATCACCTGCCTGCGACTCCTGACCCACCGAGTTGAGCTACCTGTCCCCATGAGCTCCCTGTGAGCTGTGACCAAATGACATGTCATTTGGTCATGCATGAATTTGGTCATGCATGAATGAAGGTCATGCATGACCTTCTTGTGACCCGTGATCTAACGATTTATCCTTCGCATGACACATTGACCTGACCTACCTGTGCCTGATGAGATGACCCACCAAGCTGACTTCGGCCCTGTATAATACCCATATGACCTGCCGACCTGACCCGTTGCCGCGCTCGGCAGAGGTGATGGGCGCTCTCATCTCCGTGCTTCTGATCTGGATCATCACAGCCATTCTGGTCGACATGGCTGTCGACCGCCTGCTCAACCCCGACTACGAAATCAACGCCCCCGTCATGGTCGGAACCAGCGTGGCGGGCATCATCATCAACATCATGTAGGTGCCCAGCGTGCTGGTGGTGACGTCACTGGGACAGTGATGACGTCGGTGGGGATCGTGGTCGCACTGGTGTAATGCCTAGTGACGTCATTAGTGACAGTGATGTTCGCAGGATCGGTGTTATAACATTAACCGGCTGAAAGTCGTGACTGGAGGGAAGCAAGTAGTTATGCTGGCATCAATAATCATTGTCATCTCAATGTCCGTCGGTTTTGAAGGCCTTCCAGTAGCTATTGTGTGAATGTTGATTGCCAGTTCACTGTTGTTTCTTTCTTCCTTGATCATATTTAACGAGGCTGTATTACAACCACAACCCAATTTACCTAATTGTAGTGTGTGCTTCTTACATTGCTACCACATCAGGGCCTGCTTGACCGGTTTTTACTTTGTTGTTAAGGGAGCGAGCAGAAGTGATTTATTGCTGATCACTATCAATTGGGCGGATACATTTTACCATCTATCGGAATAAACATCACATGGCGAAGAATCGTCTCGTTGATGGTGAAAATTATTTAATTAAACATTTTACTACACTTATCTGTATCTACATCTCTTCAAAAAGACCAAGCGGCCAAGTTCTTCCACAAAGCGCCGTCCCAGCACCTAGCCATAAATGAACTTTATTTATCTTACATCACTGTCTAACTTGGCTGTCGTTGTTTTCAGCATGGGCTGTGCGCTAAACCAGGACGCTGCTGGGTCTGAGGAGAATGTCAACATCAACGTGCGAGCCGCATTCATCCACGTGCTCGGCGACCTGATTCAGTCCATAGGAGTCTGTATCGCGGCGATCATCATTTACATGAGGGTCAGTGCCGGGACCAGGGGCTTCAGGGAGATGCAAGGGACTACCAGGGACCGCAGGAAGCTGTAAGGGACTACCAGGGGCCGCAGGGAGCTGTGGCCTGTGAGGGACAACCATGGACCGCAGGGAGCTGTAAGGGACAACCAGGGGCTGCAGGGAGCTGTGAGAGACAACCAGGGACTGCAGGGAGCTGTGAGGGACTGCCAGGGGCTCAGGGAGCTGTGAGGGACTGCCAGGGGCCGCAGGGAGGGCCACAGCCGCAGGACGAGGCTGTATGGGAGGATTCAGGAGGGAGAGTCAGGGGCTGTAGGGGTCAGCAATAGACTGTATTGCTGTAAAAGGCTGTGTGGGGAGTTTCAGGGTATTTAGAGATGCGGCCAATAAATGTCTGGAAGTTACGCATGGGCTGTCAGGGGCGGCAGAAGTCTGTCTGTTAGGGACAGGGGAGGTCCAGAACTACAAGGACCGCCAGAGGCCGCAGAGGAACGCCCATCCCGAAAATGAACCGTCAATTTCCTCAGGATCCAGCGACCGACCCAGCGGCAAACGGCTGCGTTGTAGCCCCACGGCGTTGACCTTGAATGTTACCGCACAGCTCTCATTAGAGCCGCGTTAATCACCCCTTCTTGCACATTGCTGCTGGCTACCGGGTGCCAATGTGGCAATTCATTTTGACTTCACCAGTTGCCAGGAAAGGATAAGGCAATATTCTAATTCCAGTGTCTTGCGTATTTAGGGTCACGTGCATGATGCTCCCGCTCTTGCATGATGTCTTGACGTTGCGTTGATATTATTGGCTGGAAATTTGTGTTAATATCCAAAATATATTGACATCGTTTGAAAGGGGTAACTGCCTGGCTCAATATTTGTTTTTTTTTCTTCTAAATCTACACCTTTATTTGGCTAAAATACACTACGAATCGTCCATGCCATGCGCATAAGTCCGATCGAAACAAACATCTCTTCGTATTTATCTCTCGTCCCTTTTTCTCTCCCTCTCCACTTTTTCAGCCTCCTCCTTCTCTCTCTCTCTCTCTCTCTCTCTCTCTCTCTCTCTCCTCTCTCTCTCTCTCTCTCTCTCTCTCTCTCTCTCTCTCTCTCTCTCTCTCTCTCTCTCTCTCTCTCTCTCTCTCTCTCTCTCTCTTTCGCTCCCCTCGCCGCCATGGGTGTCCAGTGTCCACCGTCTTCCTGTCCTCCACGTGGTATCGGGGCCATGTATTAGGACTGGTCCGCTACTACCGATCTCCCGATAAAGACGTCTATTTCGGGACCATGGGACCGGTCGGGCCTGGCTGCCTGAGGCCGATTCGGTGTCGACTGAGCTGCCTCTCTGATTCTTCGTTTGGCCGCTATAATGGTGACGATATACAATGCCTAAATTAGGAATATGTTGAATGAGAGAGAGAGGGAGAGAGAGAGAGAGAGAGAGAGAGAGAGAGAGAGAGAGAGAGAGAGAGAGAGAGAGAGAGAGAGAGAGAGAGAGAGAGAGAGAGAGAGAGAGAGAGAGAGATCCCTTTATTAGCATATTAGCAGACTCTAGGTCCATAAAGAATCATGAGAGGTCATAAGACCCTCAACCTAAATACAGATATTGCCGCCATGCATTCCTTATCGAGAAGTTACAGCCAGGTCACTGTTGAACAATCTATAAATGTGATCTAGGTATCTAAATATGAATGGTCTTGCGGAAGAATGGATCAGCGATCAAGTTTAATTATGTGCGCTTCCTTGCTGCTCATCTGAATTTCCAACATCACAGATGACAATTACATATGATGGTAAAGAAAACAAGTGTCCTAACGAGATAAAGGATTGTTTGTTATCCAATCGTCGTTTTGGATAATAATGGGCTTACTCTCGCATTAAAGCAGTCTTTGAAAAACAACCCCATAGGACCTTCATCCGCAGCAAACAATAAGACTGTTAAAGAATAACTAGAAAAATAATTATTGAAAAGTGGAAGCACGAAGACATCTAAAAGCTGAATGATTTACAATCCTCGGTTGCCAAATCTATTTAAAATAATGTTCGCTTTAATGTTTCGGAGACATAACCCACCTTTTACATCGGCAAACTTGATAAGCAGATCGAACCACAGACTGCAGTTTGTGGTTGCAAATTGCATAACAAGTGTTCCTAGCGGACGAGCCTCCCGAAGCAAAATACAAATAACTTAATATTAGATGAGAATTGCAGCTATTATCATTCCGAAGCGGGGCTGTAATGTACATAATATAAACATACGTACCTGATGACCCGATCCATGACGTGGCGTAGACGTCCACACACTGGCGAAACGGAAAAATGTTCTATTATAGTTCGTGTCTCGAACATATTTTTCAGAAGAAATTCGCGTGCCAGCCAAGAACCCGCGCCCCGTTGAGGTCTGACAGGCTCCAGTTCATGTTGAGGGGGGGGGGGGGCGCAAAGGGCCCCTTTCGTATCTCCGGAACCAACAGTCGGATCAAAAAATTTAAACGGCATTGAAAAGAGCGTTGTGTATCGAGATACACAAGATACGATGCCGATGACCTCGATATTTGACCTGTGATGTCACAGGGAGGTTAAAAAGATCAAATCTGTCCAAAAGATCATAAGAAGATCAATACAATGACGAGAAGTCGGTCATGAAAAAGGAATCTATATTTTTTAATTGAGTCTGGATATGACGCACATATTATCATGCATCTGACATGTGGATACTGGATAGTCATCTGAATGGATGTTGACCTGTGACGTCACAATTGAGAGGTCAGCCTCGACCAATCAGAAGACACTTGCATGAATGGTATGGAACGACATGCTGAATTGTGAACATTCAAGTTTTTATTAAGGCATATCATACAATTACATATGCAGCCACTGAAATCTCCTTGACAATTTTCTTGGATCTATGACGTCAAGGGGAGGTATAAAAAAGATCAGACTGTACCGGTTTTCAATGATATGGGTAATAGGGTGGTCCACATTTACATGGCAAAAAATAAAGTTCGTCAGATTCATCGGGCCGGGTCGGAATTCTTGTCGATACTATAGCACAAGCTTCTGTGCAAAATTTCATTATCGGATGATTTTTTCCCGTCCCGCAAAGCGGTCAAAGTTTCCATTATGCGTACCAGTCTTTAGTATAGGGAGAATATTCGTCTTTCAACATTGCCCAGTCGTGCCAGCGGCTATCTACCAATGAGCTTGCCTGCTCATCGCACCAGTCCTCTCTAGCCTTCTCAATGATAGATCTAGTCTTCCTATCAGCCACAGACAGGAACGATAATCCACAATTCCTGTTGCAGTTCCTGTTCTCCAGTGCCAGTACAAGCCACTATACTCGTACATGCCAGGAGGTGCGATATGTATTACGCTAATTGTGGCTTTGGCCTTTGCCTGCGTTTGGGATCGCCGCTGTAGCTGCAAGAGGCACACGCTCAATCACCGAAATGTGGCTTGTTTTGGCAGCCAGAAAAAGCAAATCCTTGCTGGATGAAACAGTCCCTTACGAACGAGCAAGTGCAGGGCGCCTCTTTCACTTGGCACTCACCATCCGTCTTCCGGCCCCGGGCTCCCGAGATCCCGTCGTTCAAGCGGTTTGTAAAGTGGTGGCAGCTCACGGAACGAGTGTCGTTCAAACCGCTCAATTACTTAATCGATTTCGCCGACAAGATGATTGTCACCTGATGTGCGTTGCTGATGAAGCAGCGGCCCTGGGATGACTGCCGCGATGTGGTGCAGTTCACCATCGTCGTGATGGACTGTGATTTTGAGGCCAGCATCCGGAACCGGGGAACCGGTTGCCTTACAACGTGGTCGTTGGATTGCAAAGGTGATGAACACACTCAAGATCATTCATTCTCTTCTGCCAGCTCGCGCTCACCGAGCACGAGAAGAGGACGATGGTCCAGATCACCACCTTAATCGTCACAAGGGTAGCATCGTGACTGTCTGCCCATTGATCGACCTCAGCATGGGGAACTGACATCGCCCTCCCCAAAGGCCCTCGCCGCTTACCACACGGATATCGGAAGGTAACCGGGAAAGGTGATAGGCAAGGTCTCAAGGCCATCGGTCTCCTTCGGCGTCGGGACGGCGGTCGAGGAAAAGCAGGCGACTGCCACCTCCATGCGGCAGCGGCTAAGATAGAAGAACCCTCCCGCGTCGACGTCGCCCTCGACGCAGTGGGGCAGCGCTCGCGGGCGTCCTTTGCATATGTTGGTCTCGGTGCACCGCCCTCGGGGCCAGTCACGATTTCCTCAAAGTGGACCCGGCCGAAGGGTCGTACAATGACGACTTGACCGCTGGTCGTCGGCGACCGACACATAGGTATACGGGTGGTAAACGACTTTGCAGGAGCCGGGTGCTGCACTGCTGCCCTCATCAGCGGCAAATTTTTAGCGCCATCGCGCACGGCAAGGAACAGTGACAGCACTTCCTTCAGGTCGAGGAGCCTAACTACACTGGGCGTTGCATCCGGGCGGGAGATTGGTTTAGGGTGGCTCGCACGGTGGACCTCGTCTTTTAACTGTACCGATATGCTATTTTCACTAATGCTTATTCCACTCTGATGTGTTTCTCTCCTTTGCTGTTCTTATTTAGTGACTGCCAGTGCGTATTGAGCAAAAAATGTGAACTGAGTGGGAGAATCCGTGCTATCGCCCATCCCCTTATAGTTAACATAGGGAAAACTTTGGCCGCTTTGCGGGACGGGATAAATTTATCCGATCAGAATGAAATTTTGCACACAACATTGTGTCATGGTATCGACAAGAATTCCGACCCGGCCCGACGGATCCTAGAAACTTTTTCAAAATGGACCACCCTAATGGGTAAGTATCATAAATATTGCGCTAGACTGATTTCAAGTGAAAATGTGTCGTCATAAGAACAGTAACTATATTTTTAGTCTTTCAAATGGCTATATCTTTGACAGTTTTAGGTAAATTTTGTTGATTTCTGGCATGTATAAAGGCAGCAAGGGGTTCTCTGACATAAACCCCGTTTTTGAATGTCCCCAAATTTTCAAAAACATCTCAAGAAATCTAAATATTGAGTTGGAAAATCTAAAGATCTTGACATTTTTATAGTTTCGAATTTTTTTAGATAACCATTTTGTTTGACATGCTTTTTTGTACGTACGGTTTTATTTTTGACTTCTTAAGATGGCAGTCTGATTTTCTGCGATTCTTTTTCTGTGAACAGCTTTTTTGACCGAAAATGGCCAAACATGAACTCAGTTCGACCTCTATAACTCATGACCTGAGGTGACCTAGGACCTAATTTTTCAGGACTTGTGTAAATTGATGTACAGACAGGTAGTGAAAACAGTGAGCCGCAATTCGCAGCCGTTTCTGAGGAATCTGCGAAAAACCACAGGGGGGCAGTGGCGGCGGAACACCTTCAATTAGGGGGGGGGGGGCGGGGCACCGCCGACTTTTGGTCCCATTTCTTTCCATGCAACGCCGATAGGACTAATGTTAAAATGCCAAATTCAAAGGGACACGGTCCCCCCCCCCCCCCACGTTCTGCCGCCTATGCAGGCTTTTGGATCGGGTCGCGGAATAATAAGATAATCATTATTAGGAATGGATTGGACCAATACAAGATTTATTGTATTTGTCAATTCCCTGTTTTCAGGAATCTGATCGCTTGATAACAGTGGTAAACTTGCCTGGGATTCAATGCCGTAAGACAGTGACCTTGACTTCGGAGTCGGACGTATGTGCTACGCCACTTCAGATAACGATGTCGCCTGATATTAAGCCCCGCCTTCTCACAGTCCATCGCTGTGCACTAGGCTGGTCTTCTCCGCGCCAGACAACTTTCGGAGGCTTCCATAGATGCAGAGGCAAAAAAGGTGTTTTTTGTTTGTTTGTTTTTTTGTTGGAAATATTGACTGTCAGGAGGCTATATTTTCATTTTTATATTAGTCTCTCTCTCTCTCTCTCTCTCTCTCTCTCTCTCTCTCTCTCTCTCTCTCTCTCTCTCTCTCTCTCTCTCTCTCTCTCTCTCTCTCTCTCTCTCTCTCTCTCTCTCTCTCTCTCTCTCTCTCTCTCTCTCTCTCTCTCTCTCTCTCTCTCTCTCTCTCTCTCTCTCTCTCTCTCTCTCTCTCTCTCTCTCTCTCTCTCTCTCCTCTCTCTCTCTCTCTCTCTCTCTCTCTCTCTCTCTCTCTCTCTCTCTCTCTCTCTCTCTCTCTCTCTCTCTCTCTCTCTCTCTCTCTCTCTCTCTCTCTCTCGCAAAAATGGCCATCCAAAGGAAATGTCTTGTAGGTGCAATCCATTCCCGATTGGTGTTTGGTTTTGCATAGAAGCTGTACCTATTGCTGAGTTTAGGCCATTGCTGTGTTTTTACACCATTTCTCAATTCTCATTTCCATATTTTCATCAAACATTTTACTTCATTCTTGTTGCTGCATTACATATATCGCAATGCTAATCAGTCAGTTATGTAGACGTTTATTTCAAACGTGCCAAATAAATAAACTTCTCCAGATAATCACTACACGTGATGGGACTTATCTTTTGAACGAATCATATTTGGGACATTTGACAATGTATAATACGGTAGGTAATCTATCTTACATGTTACAAAAAGCGCTGAGAAAATAGTTCGATTCCAAAGATTGATGCTGAGACCTTACCCACTCTGGCATGTCTGGGTATTTTGATACGTCTTAATTACCAAAATCATATCTATATCCACCAGTTGCATTTTTCTGTTGTGCTGCGCTGGCGCCCTCACAGTTGATTGCTGCAGACAACACGCAGGGCCGGGGTCATCAGGTATGTACATGTGCAAGGCACGCCACCTGGATCCCAATTAGACAGATTGCTGTGCATGACAACAGCCTATTTAGCCCCCCGGCGAGGGCAATCATGAAACTGAGCAGTGAGCTTGTCTTTATACTCTGCACTGAGCAGCTCGCATAGTGCGTACGGTATACAGGGCCTTGGTGCGTAAGAACCACCTGACCTGTCCTTCCATAAACTCTGTGGTCCTATGCCGAGTTAAAATCTGCGGCTCGATAGAGTGATCAGAAGAGCGATGGCTGCGTTGTGTAACCCACCTATCCTCGTGTCAGTTATATAACCAACTGGTCTTGGGGCGGTCACTTGCAGGATGCAGCGTGGTGCAACTACAAATAGGGCCCCGGTGGAGATTCAGTGGACCCGCTGCTGGCTAAATCGGCAGCGAGATTCGGCGTTCCATGTGCCGTGTTACTTGCTACGCTTAGGACACTGGACAAGAGCACATTTCAGTTTTGTTAGTTCCTGAACGTTACCATACTATACATGGAATGTGAAAGGTTCACTCTTCATCAGTTTAAAAAGAAAAATAGACCGATAAAATCAGCCTCTTTGAAATAAAGTTTACCAGTCTTACCTATTGTGTAAGCGTTGCAACCAAAAGGCAACCCCCTTAGAAGAAAAAAGTGTAGCTCGCGCCATGGGGATTATAATAATTTCGAGCAATATTCACTCCGAGCACAATATTACGGGTCTCCAAGTGATGAATGTTTCCGAGCCCACCGAATCGACTCTGACCTGTCATGTGCGCAAACGCGCCTATATCATACGCGACTGAAATGTTCCCATATAAGGGACGCTTGGACCATCAGTCTGAAATCTCACGTAGAACACAAATCAGTACTTTGATGTCAGCGATAGCCTAAAGCCTTGAATAATGTCTCAATCCCGTGTGATTGATTTATAGCAATGTTGAACAATGAATAGCTGGTGTGTAGAGCTGCACCTGCTAAATTGAAATGTCTGTTTTATGCGAAAAAAAGCACAGGACTTAATAGTGTTCGAATATTAGAAGCAGTTTGTCATAATGGCTCAAGTTGATACCTTTCACTCGCCATCAATCATTCACACTGTCAAGAGAAGAGATTGTAGGTAGGTATAATAACAAGCAACATTACAACATCTTCGCCCGCACGATGACTTTCAAGACAGTTGCTATCAGCCATACTCTGAAAGCCAAACGTTTTGTATCCGCTTAACTCAAGTAACTGAATCAACTTGACCTAACCTCACTTTGAGAATGACCTGCTTGATGCTTCTTTCCCATGTGTTTTGTTTTTTGTTTTGTTGGGTTATGTGCTTTCGATCTAACTAGACCATTTCAGAGCCGGAAAATGATAGAAATTAGGGTGAGACATTGCTGGGCAGGCACTCCTATGAGTCACCGGGGCTGAGCCCATCTGCAGTGGACAGGCCACCGAGCCCCCAAAACCAGGGCTGCGGAGTCGATGGATTTTCGGCGACTCCGACTCCGACTCCGACTCCGGCTTTCAAAAACCAGCTCCGACTCCGACTCCGACTCCGGGCAGAATTGTCGACTCCGACCGACTCCAACTCCCGACTCCGACTCCGCAGACCTAGCAGGGCTGCGGAGTTGACAGATTTTCGGTGACTCCGACTCCGACTCCGGCTCGGGTTTCTAAAATCGACTCCGACTCCGACTCCGACTCCGGTCACAACTGTCGACTCCGACCGACTCCGACTCCGACTCCGACTCCGACTCCGCAGCCCTGCCCAAAACACTCAGTGCACCCGGCTACGTGCGTGCTCCTATGGAAGCTTCCCGTATGTGATAAAGTTGCCCGTTCAGCCCGGAACAGGGGATTGAGGCATGGAGTGAAGGATTTTATCATCCTAAGGACGGGAATAATGGATCAGTGTTTAATTCTTCACACTATGTAAAAATAAGATGTGTTATGAAACATCTGTCTCATTGTTCAGTGTCCAATGTCCGTGTCCAAAACGGGTCATGTGTCATGTCGAAATTTGATTAGTAGCAAGTGCTCTGTCAGTATGCAGTATGCACATGCCTAGCCTCCTGTGTACCTTACATATAACCTCCCTCCTCTGTTCTACCCACAGCCTGACTGGATCATCGCCGATCCGATCTGCACCTTCATCTTCTCAGTAATCGTGTTCTCCACCACGATCGGTGTGCTCAAGGACGCCCTCAGAGTGCTGCTCGCCGGTAGGTGACAGCACAGTGGGGGATAGTATGTATACAGGTGGCGCCTCTCAGAGTAGCAGTTCCTGGCAAAAGGAGACTCTGCTTACAGAGCGACTATCACTCGTTAACCCGGCACCGCCTGGGCTATTTCCGTACCCACATCAGCCTGGGGGGGGGGGGGTCGGATCCGACCCCCCCCCCCTGTTATCTCGAGAACCAATGGTCGTATCGAGCCCCGCGAGGCGGCGTTCGAAAGGTCTCTACGAGACCTTCCCAAAGCACTCTTAAGATTTTAAGATTGAGGTCAACTTTCGGGTCAAGGTCAGGTCAAAGGTCAAATTCAGGGGTTTTGCATGATTAGGCTTACGGACTGCGGAATCGATAGCTGCTGCTCGAAACTCACCACAAATGACCTCAAAGACCTAGTGAAGGTACCATGTGCGTATAGCACGGTTCGTCGGAAGGTCATCTCAGGCTCAAAAGAAACGGTATATACCATTCGAAAGCTGACGGTGAGCTGAATCCAAAAATGCAATTTTTATCAAAATCGATCGATGGCCTTTTTTGAAAATTGCGTTTTTGTAAAAACTTAATATTCTTATATTCAACGGGCTGTCCCGGACATTCTTGAAAACATAAACATGTATTTTTGAGTTCCAGTGAAAGCTGAACGCCAATAGAACAATATTTAGCGAAGCAATATTTCCTAACATTAATATGCGTCTCCCACAGCCGACAATAAGGCGCAATCACACAGCTCTGTGTCACGATGGACCAAAGTCAGCCACACAGAAGCGTGAAATGACCCTTATCGACTCGCAGACCCGGCGCTCTCGGCCCGCCTGACCGGCCGGCGGCCACGGAAAGAACGTTCGGCTCTCGTTCTACTAAACAAATGTCATATTTGTCAGTTTAACTGTCCACATCGCTATTAAAGTTATTCAGGATACCTGTGAATAAAATTCATTGTTGTGCTTGATTTAAAACATGCTTTAACCCTCGCCCGTATAGGGGGGGGGGGTCGAACGGACCCCCCCCATGGTTTTTCGCGAATAACTCGCGTAAAAAGCGGCCGATCGCAACGAAACTTTCAGTACCCTCGCGTTGATCAATTTTACACCCATTCTGAAAATTTCATGACCCTGACCCCAATGACCTTTGACCTGTGACCTACTTTTCGAGACCATGTTTGGCCGGAATCGCGATTCGGCGTATGTCGGCTCGCATTAGCCGCGCGTTTGCAGTCTTTTCGTGGTTTCAAGCGTTCAAACATGTGATATGATGTTGCCCCCATGCATTAGGGTGGGTGTCAAGGTCATCTGAAGGTCAGGTCAGGTCATTGACCTTTGGTGACCTCGGTTCACTTTTTCGAGTTTTACATGTTTCTAGGCCAGTTTTTTTAGCTGAATTCGAATTTAGTAACCATATGAACGTTTACGAAGTAGTTTTGGTACCTTCGTAACATGTTACGAAGCTGTCAGAGGCGGTTGACACCTACTAGGAATACCCGGCAGGACCCCTACTGGTTGACCTGACCTGACCTGACCCGACCTGGACTAAATGCATAAAGACATCATCTGTGATCAAAACTAACATGATATTCGTGATCGGCGCCCCGAAAACCCCCATAGCAGCCACACTTTACCACGTTTTAACAGGTCCCGATTTTCCCGACTTTTGGGTCATTGACCTGACCTGCAATGTCAACCAATGACCTAGGACCTTAAAATTAGGTATCATCGGCTTCCTCTCGTGACGGGCAACACGCTCGTTTTTTGCCGCAAAGCTCTAGCTCGATCAGGGGCGAAACGGCAAGGGGGGGGGGGTCCAACGGACCCCCCCTTATACGTTCGCGGCTGGAAAAACACCAATACGGGCGAGGGTTAATTTACATTTTTCTTATACATGTTTTGTTCCATCCAGCTGCGCTCAGTGCCCGCGCAGGGGAAGTGAGCGGGGTTTCACTGTCAGAGGCTGTACTGGTGACAGCTGCTCGGCCGTGCGACCGGTCAAAGGTTACCCTGCCCCGCCGGGCGCTACCCCCACTCCACCGGAGCTGAGGCCGGTGCAGCCTCTGACATTTCAGCGCGGCCAATTTTCCTTATATGGGCATGATACCAAGCTCAATTGAGCAAAGTAGACATGAATAAATGCAAATTAATGCATAATGTGAAGATGACAAAACAATGAATTTTCTTCACAGGTATCCTGAATAACTTTAATAGCGATGTGGACAGTTAAACTGACAAATATGACATTTGTTTAGAAGAACGAGAGCCGAACGTTCTTTCCGTGGCCGGTCAGGCGGGCCGAGAGCGCCGGGTCTGCGAGTCGATAAGGGTCATTTCACGCTTCTGTGTGGCTGACTTTGGTCCATCGTGACACAGAGCTGTGTGATTGCGCCTTATTGTCGGCTGTGGGAGACGCATATTAATGTTTGGAAATTTTGCTTCGCTAAATATTGTTCTTTTGGCGTTCAGCTTTCACTGGAACTCAAAAATACATGTTTATGTTTTCAAGAATGTCCGGGACAGCCCGTTGAATAAAAGATTATTAAGTTTTTACAAAAACGCAATTTTCAAAAAAGGCCATCGATCGATTTTGATAAAAATTACATTTTTGGATTCAGCTCACCGTCAGCTTTCGAATGGTATATATCGTTTCTTTTGAGCCTGAGATGACCTTCCGACGAACCGTGATAGGGGTCATACTAAGTACGGGTCAAGGTCAGGTCAGGTCACGAAAGGTCACGGTTTTCACTTTCTGCTACATGGGCGTGCGACACATGTTTTATGGCTTATTTTTCACGCCAAATCCGATGGTAATGGTTATATGTGACCCCAAGTCACTGTGCTGGTGATAAGTGTGCATTGAAAACATAAAAAATCGTTTATACCATACATAACTAAACGAGGGCTAAGAAAAAAAGTCAATTTTTCAACTTTTTATTTTTGACATAAAAATGCACTTTTCTAGACGAGCTTTGTCCCAGGAATCTAGTGGTGCCATTTGTTTTCACATGCGATGTTCAGAAGTGCCTCTAATTCGCGAAAACGCTTATGACGTCACCATGCCCTATGCATGTTGGAGCTATTTTTTACAATTTGGGGGTCAAAAATCAAGATAGAAAGTTGAAATTTGGGACATCTACTGTTCTAATAGATTTCTATAACATATATTCAGGTTTTTCGGAAATTTTCAAAATTTTGGATTTTATTAGCTGTTTTCCAAAAAATATAGTTTTTTGAATTTTTAGGGGTGAAAAACGCATTTTATGGAAAATCCGAGATAGCCATTTTAAAGAACTCGTTGAGCTGCGTCTTTTCATGTTCTTAATTTGCAATTTGCTTAAAACCTCGATTTTTGGCGATTTTTTAAACATTTACCATTTTTTGACTGAAAACGCCATGTAGTTACATCACTAAAATCGATATATCTCAGAAATTTTTGAATTTTTTTTCTTAGAAATTGCACAGGAGACGTCAAATTGATGGGGGAGAAGGTATGCGAAGTTTCAAGTTGATAGCTCAAGCGGTTCATGAGTTATTCAAGAAAAACGAAGGGGGGGGGGTCGGATCCGACCCCCCCAGGCGGTCGCGGGTTAAAGCTTTTAAATTACATTTTATGAAACATGCCTAAGAAACGAAATATGAAAAATAACACAAAGCATTTTGCTAAAAAAGGTTGTGAAGAAAATGTATGACTCACAGGTCGCTCCGTGATATGACCGACCCCTGACCTGGCCACCATGACCAATGATGAAATTCCACGCCCGCTCCCCCAGCCACACCTCCCGAACTGAACCTCCATGACATCTCTGCGGCTCTGCTCGACGTTCCTGGCGTGGTGGGCCTGCATGGACTGCGAGTGTGGGCGCTCAGCATGGATACCAACGCCGTCATGGTGCACCTGGAGATCAGTGAGTGGGGAGAGGGGGATGGCAGAGGGACTGAGAAATGAGGTGGAGGGGGAGGGAAGGGTAGGGAGAGGAGAGAGCGAATGAGGGAGATAGTGAAGAGAGAGAGAGAGAGAGAGAGAGGGGAGGGAGGGAGGAGAGAGGGAGATAATGTTGAGTGGAGAGAATAGAGGATATGTTGATAAAAAAAAACTGCTTTAGTCAGTACCCCGTGGTTACAAGCCGTTGAAGATTAGCGTGTGTGCATTCAGTAAAATGAAGTGGGCGATGCAGTCTAAATTTGTTATATTGCATGAAACTAAATGTCTGACTGTCGAATGCTGAACACTGTTATAAAGCAGTATCATTTTATCGCTTTCTCAGAGTATTACGAAGACGGCGCAGCTGCTCTCGAAAAGGCCACAGACGTCCTGCGGAACAAGTTCCACTTCTACGAGATCTGCGTGCAAGTGGACACCTTCACGAACAGCATGAACCACTGCACGATCTGCAACGAAAACAAAGAGGTCACCACGCGGCCGGGCACTGTGACCGTCTGAGGCGGGGCACCACCACCACCACCACCGCCGCCGCCGCCGCCACTGCGAACTACCGCCAGTTTCAGTCACTAAGAGGAGTCAGTGTGTAGCGCCGCCGGGGTCCGCCAGTCCACAGCGTGCGCTCCAGAGCAGGTGCCATCAGCGATTGATCCATCTTTGGCAGTCGGCCTAACTCAGTGGTTGTCTATGAACAGAGCCGTCCACTGTGGCAGCTATTTACCCGCAGAGCCGTCCACTGTGGAAGTCTATTTACCCATATCACCGTCCACGACTCTAATATTTTTATCACATAGCCGTCACTAGTGTCAGGTCTGTGTGTATTGTCGTCCACAATGATCAAATAAATGAGGCCCTCTGTGGTGTCTACGAAGCTCCCCGTCTACAACAGCTGTCTTTTCTATAGGATTATCGTTCACTTTAGCCATTTAGCCATTAGCCGTCTGCTGTAGCTGTAGCCGTCTTCAGCCGTTTATTGTAAATGTCTCCTGTAGGCATTTACAATAGCCGCCTGCTTTAGCTCTCTAATTTAGCCGTCTGCTGTAGGCAGCTGTCTACAGTAGCCGTCTACAGCAGCCTGTCAACAGTAGCTGTGTTTTGTAGCCGTCTTCTGTAGCCGCCTGCAGTAGCTGGTCTTCATTATCCGTCTGCTGTAGCCGTCTGCTGTAGCTGTCCGCTGTAGCGTCTACAGTAGCCGTCTACTGTAGCCGTCTACTGTAGCCGTCTGCTGTATCCGTCTGTTGTAGCCGTCTGCTGTAGCCGTCTGTTGTAGCCGTCTGTTGTAGCCATCCGTTGTGGCCGTCTACAGGAGCCGTCTGCTGTAACCGTCTGCTACAGCCGTCTTCTGTAGCTGGTCTGCAATAGCCGTCCACGGAAGCCGTCTGCTGTAGCCGTCTACAGAGCCGTCTGCTGTAGCTGTTAACAGCTGTTGTAGACATCTGTGGTATCTACTACAGCCATCTACTGTAGCCGTCTTTGGCTGTGGGCGTCTATGACCCATATGGTCCGCTACTCGTATGCCCGTCTTCGGCCGTCTATGGTCGTCTTTGGCCGTCTGGAGTGGCCACCTGCCGTCTGGCGCCCGCCCTGGTTGTGTTTTAAATGTGGATGTCGTCTGAGGCATGTGAAATGTAAATGAGACCTGTCGTCTACTACGACCGACTAATTATAAATCGCTGTGGAATTTCTTACTGTGGTCATAAGTATTATGTAATTGTTAAACTTCTTGTTTTCAAGCGATCTGTACGAATATTTTCGAAGCTGAAGCGTTTATATGATGTCAACAATAACATCACCGATGACGCATTGTTAACTTTGAGGTGTACTGTAGTCGATAAGCGGTGAACTTCAGACGGCAAATAAGCGTCACTTTTGATCTTGAACCGTAACATTTGTGCCATGCTTTTGACGTAAGGCTGGCAAGCATCGACGATCTTACACTGTGGCCAATGCATTTATAAATCACGTGTCGAGTGCGTGCTCTTTATGGAATGATATGATGTTGCGAACATGTGATAGCCTGAATTTGCATATGTCCGGCAATGATGTAATCATAAGTCGAATGTATTTCATTGCTCAAGGTAGGAAAACTAAAATGAGTGAGGAGACAAACGACCGGTTATCATATTTGCTCAAATATTGTCTTGCAAAGTTTCGGCAGCGTTATTGAGAACAAAAATTGCGTTGCGCAAAACATTACTCGGATATGTATGTGTTTGTCCTAACTGGTGAAGGTTTAAAGCATTGAAACAACTGATATTATTGTTACATTTTTAGCTGTGGCCTGTGGGTTTGGTGTGTTTTTCTTGGGACTGTTTTTTGGGGTATTCAATTAATAACGCTGGGGCATTCCACGATAGATCGTACCACTTTTTTCCAATTTGACACCCTCATCTCTCGGATTTTAACAATAATTGGTGTAAGGGGTAATCAGGGGCTCTGAATCCTCCTGTAACAATTTCAGGCTTATCAGATGAGTGGTTTTTGAGTTATAGTGTATAACATGTTTTGGATCCTGCGTTGCAGCCCCGAGTTTGGCGGGCTGTAACTCTAAGACGGATAATCCAAATGCCAAATGCTGTACGGCATTGAACTTGCATTGAAACAAAGAATAATATGCATTTTTTTAAATCTTGAAATTTATATTATTTTTGATATATAACACCTCGAGTTTCCTTTCATTTGCATTTTTATGCCTTTGGGACCAATTTTTTTTGAATTTTTATTTACTTAAAAACATTTTTGGATCATTTTTAAGTAGTATGCAAAAAATTAGGAAGGTGTTCTTTCTATAAATGTACTTATTTTGCGTCACCGTAATGGTCTCGAATTGTGATTTCGGAAGAGAGCCTACAAATGGTGTGGTAAAGCTGCCTAGTGACATCATTGGTTACTGAATGTTCAATTGAAGCCATTTTTGCCTCACTTTTGCATTGTTGACCTTGCGTGACGTCATTCGTACGTCACTAGGGTCATAAGAGTTTTTCGTCAATAACTCTCGATCAAATTGAGCTAGAGAGACGGGAAAGCTACCAATGGACTCGGGAAGACGTTGCGAATCAAATGATGTGCAATATGATATCATTCACCCAGCTTCGTGGCCTGACCGGACTGTTAACCATCTCTGTGGCGGCGCTGTTTGTCCAGCGCCGCGCTGGTTGGCTTTGCCGCGGACTCGGGGCGGTCACGTGATGCCCGGCGGCTGGCTGCCGGCTGGGCCGCCCGGTCGGGGAGCGGAGCCAAATACACGGCAGTGTGCTGACCCGAGGTCAGCGACTTAAGCTGACCTCACCAGAACAAACAGTATACCATTCGACGCGCCGGAGCTAGGCAAACACAAAAATGCTAAAATCGCTGCTCTGCGACCATTTGTTGCGAAGTTATCTATCAAAAACCGGACCCGTAATTTGGATCACTTGAAATGACCTCAGGGGTCACCAATGAACCAGAGACCCTAAAATGTGGTATCATTCGATCCATCTTGTAACGGCGCACATGCTCGTTTTTTCCGCAAGGTTCTAGCTCCATTAGAGGCGAAACGGCGAGCTGGGGTCGTACCGAACCCCCGGAAACCCATTTTGTATACATTTAAATGAGGAACTTATAGAAAGAACACCTTTCTAATTTTTTGCATGTCGATTTTAAAGCACCTGAGGTTTATTTTGAAGAAATAAAAATGGCAAAAATTTCGGTCCCAAGGGCCATTACAGACAATTTAAAGAAATACTACGACTTTTTTCAATATGTAAAGCTTTTCTTTCCAATTTTAAAAATACTGTATTAATCTTTGATTCATCGTTAGTTCAAAGCTGTTTACCGTTTGTTGCTTGCTTATCTCGTTTTTGAGTTATAGCTCATCAAACTCACCCTTACAATCTGAAGTTTAGAAAATATTATGCAATGTAACTCAAAAAGTTTTTATCTGAGAAGTCTGATATTTTGGCAGGTGTTTTTGGAGCCTATGATTACCCCTTGTACCAATTTTCATTCAAATCTGAGAGATGAGGGTGACGGGCCTGGTACGATCTATCGTGGAATGCCCCCGCTTCCATTGTTATTTGCAACGAAGAATAATGAATAGTCAGGCATTTGTGTTTTCTTCCTATAATGGTATTCGATGGAGTTGTGCCTTGTGGTATGAGTGAGGTGAGCTTGCATACTTGTTACGCTGCTAATGACATTCAGGCCGGGGGGATCCAGGGCGTCGCAAGTCCATCTACGACACGTCGCAAGTTACGACACATGTTCCGTCGCAAGTTGTGTCGTAGCGAAAAAGGAGGGATGTTGAGGAAAGAGGGGTTTGTCGGAGGATACGACAGAACGTAGCTGCGACAAGGTTTAAATACCCGCTTTACTCGAGAATTTAAAAGGCTACACGATCAGCTGATCCCGTAGTAAGCGTCAGTAAGGTCGAAAACTCTATCAAGCATAAAGGAACATTCGTCCTTCTGGTTTGCGAGCTTATGAGACAGCCAGTTCAAGCATGTTCTCTGATTCTGAAGCTTTGTCTCAACTGGGTGACTTGTGGTTGCTAACGCTCACGTGAGTTGCCATGAATTTTGCGATCGATCACAAGAGATTCGTGGCGCTATAGGGCATCTAGAAGCGATGCTTTAGAAGAAATGAGTTAAGAGAGTATGAGGTCACAGAGAGTTAGTAGAGTTGGAGATTGAGGTCACAATTGGAAGTTACAGAGGTCATCTGGGACACTTCAGGTCACGGAGGTCAACTTGGGGTCATCACAGAGCTCAATTGGAGACCACGGAAGTAATCTGAGACACGTCAGGTCACAGAAGGCAACTTGGGGGCACGTCAGGTTACAGAGGTCAACTCGGGGTCATCACAGAGCTCAATTGGGGGTCATCTGGGACACGCCAGGTCACAGAGGTCAGCTTGAGGTCATCAAAGAGCTCAATTGGAGGTCACGGAGGTCATCTGGGACACGTCAAGTCACAGAGGTCAACTTGGGGTCATCACAGAGCTCAATTGAAGGTCATGGCGGTTATCTGGGGCACATCAGGTCAGATAGGTCAGCTTGGAGTCATCAGAGGGGTCACTTAGAGGTTACAGAGGTCATATGGGACACGTCAGGCCACAGAGGTCAATTTGAGTTCATCACAGAGCTCAATTGGAGGTCACGGAGGTCATCTGGGACACGTCAGGTTACAGAGGTCAACTTGGGGTCATCACTGAGCTCAATTGGAGGTCATCTGGGACACGTCAGGTCACAGAGGTCAACTTGGGGTCACCACAGAGCTCTATTGGAGATCACGCAGGTCATCTGTGACACGTCAGGCTACAGAGGTCAACTTGGGGTCATCACAGAGCTCAATTGGAGGTCATCTGGGACACATCAGGTCACAGAGGTCAGCTTGGAGTCATCACAGAGCTCAATTGGAGGTCACGGAGGTCATCTGGGACACTTCAGGTAACAGAGGTCAACTTGGGGTCATCACAGAGCTCTATTGGAGGTCATGGGGGTCATCAAGGGACACGTCAGGTCACAGTGGTCAACTTGGGGTCATCACAGAGCTCTATTGGAGGTCACGGAGGTCATCTGGGACACATCAGGTTACAGAGGTCAACTTGGGGTCATCACAAAGCTCAATTGGAGGTCATCTGGAACACGTCAGGTCACAGAGGTCAACTTGGGGTCATCACAGAGATCAATTCGAGGTCATGGGGGTCATCTGGGACACATCGTTTTTAGAATTTGGAGAACCTTTTGGGGGATGCCCCTCGCAACGTCCAAGACCGCCTTTCTGGATTCGCCAGTAGTTGCTGGAATGGTGTTAGGCTACTTCATATCCATGAATACCCCAATAAATGTGAATATAACATATTATGCACCATGTTCAACACTCTCGCTGGCGCGGATTGAGGCCTCATAGACGAACCGTTGGTTCTTGCTTTATAACTCGCGTTAGCGGCAACGGATTGCAACGCAATTTTCAGGATCTCAAGTTTCAACAATTTTCCACGTACCATGCAAATTTCGTGACCATGACCCCAATGACCTGTGACCTGTGACCTCTCCCTCAAGGCCATATCAACTTGCGACACAACTTACGACTGCTATTTCATATTCGTAAGTTGTGTCGTAAATCAGGCACTTTGCGATAGACTTTACTTCTTAAGTAACGCTACTCATCAATTGATCCCTCCAAAAACGACTTACTACACAACTTGCGACACGTCGCAGCTGCGACGAGGCTTACGACGCTCTGGATCCCCCCAGCCTCAGTGATTTCAGAAGCCGGTGCATCAATAAAGACAGAAAAATGCAAAGACACAGTCGGACGTCGGGTACCACAACCAAAATGTCGAGGCTAAATGTTTAATTAAATCGGTAACTTTGCCGATATTTTTCCTTACTGATGGAAAAATATCGGCATTAATGGCAAAGGTAACGTTTATGAATAACTTACCTTCAATCTGAAAGTGGCCACTATAAATACGCCCTCAATATATGTCAATTCCCAGAAGGCTCACTCACTCCCAATTCCCAGTGAGTAAGTTTCAACAAACTCACTCTCCAATGGCATTGAGGGAAGGCTTTTGAAAACTTACTTTACCCGAGGGATGATTATAAAATAGAATACCCAGTTCACTTCTGGGTTTGCAATGCAGTCTTCTGATTTGCAATGCATACATATTTTGTGACCGCGCTTTTGAAATGCGTCATCGCAGCAGCAGCTGGGCCAATAGACTCGAGGACTCTTCTTTGCAGTGTTGATTTATCTCTGCTGCCAAGCATCAGATTTAACCCGCGCCCTGATGGGGGGGGGGCATTTTGGCCCCCCCTGTGGTTTTTCTTAAATAGCGAGAAAACGGCGGCGCGCAGCGCCGCCAAATTTTGGGTACCTTACCGGACATCAATTTGACACCTTCACACAAAATTTCAAGTCACAGGTCACCTCAGGTCAGGAGTTATTGAGGTCAAACTGAGGTCATGTTCGAGTAAAAATGAGCAAAA